GCGTCCCGTCAGGGCCCGGCGCAGCCTCCTCCGCACGGTGACCCGTCCGACGGGAGATCCGTCCTGCGGTGTGAACACTAAAGGGAGCAGTTAGGGACGAGGGCCTGAGGAACAAAGCGCCGAATTCACCCCACCGTATTGAAAGGCCTTTGGTAGTTATCAGCAAGAGCTAAAAGGAACTGGAAACACGGACAGAAATGAGTCAGGGGAAAAGAAACAGCTCAAAGAGGAGGGGAAGGGAAGGCCCAGGAATCTTCTGCCCCATCAGCCTTGCTTCAGTGCTAAAAAGTCTATAAAATGAGTTATTAAACAAGGGATTTGCAGCCACCTAAAAGGTAATGAGGTGATAGTAACAGCTAGTGTGAGCTGTGGAAACCAAATTGTGCCGAAGGAATCCCAAATCCTGGAGATGGAGGGGAAAGGCTGGAGTGACAAGATGTACCCTTGCTGGATGTGGAGCATCGCACCAGGGAATACTTAAGCAATCTGCACATTCATAAGTCCATTTGCACTCGTGGAACGTACCCATAAATGCTAAGGTGCTGGCAGTCGTCATTGCAAGGTCATTCACAATCATCTTTGCTCAATCATGGCAAATGGGAGAAGTGCTCAAGGGCTGGAGGAAAGCACATGTCACCCCTATCTTCAAGAAGGGCAAGAAGGATGGTCTAGGGAACTCCAGGTCAGTCAGCTTCACCCTGATGCCAGGGAAAGTGATGGATCAGCTAATCCCGGAAACTGTCTTCAGGCACATTGAGAACAAAGAAATAATGAAGAGTAGTTAGCAGGGCACCATCAAGGTGCCTTAATAAATTCCATGATGAAGTGATTGGCCATATAGATAAGAGGAGGGCAGTGGATATTGTCTACCTGGGCTTCAGTAAGGCCTTTGACACTGTCTCCTGTAAGATCCTCACAGAGAAGTTGTTGATGTATGGGTTGGATGATGGGTTGACCAATTGGTGAAGTGGATTGAAAACCATCTGGATAATTGTGCCCAGAGAGTGGTGGTCAGTAGTGTGATCTAGTTGGAGGCCAGAAACTAGTGGTGTACCTCAGAGATCAATACTACTCAGCATCTCCATTAATGACCTGGATGATGGATCTGAGCATACCTTCAGCAAGTCTACAGATGACATCAGACTCAGGGGGGTGGCTGTTACACCAGAGGGTCATGCTACCATCCAGAGGGACCTTGATAGGCTGGAGAAATGGGCCAAGAGGTACCTCATGAAGATCAACAAAGAGAAGTGAAAGGTCCTGCAGCCAGTGACAGACAATCCCATGCACCAGTAAATGGTGGGGGCACTCAGCTAGAAAGCAGCTTGGCAGAAAGGAATCTGGGGATCCTGGTGGACACCAAGTTGAACATGACCCAGCAATGGGCTTTTGTGGCAAAGAAAGAGAGTGGTATCCTGGGCTGCATGAGACAGCGCTGCCACCAGGCGGAGGGAGGGGCTCCTTCCCCTCCCCTGAGCACTGGCCGGGCAGTGCTGCCCCTGTCTTTGTGCTGTGCTTCATGTTCCCAGCTCCGTCCCTGCTCTCCTGGAGCTCCTCTGGAGGTCTGTCACTTTCACTGGAGTCCTTGCAGCCAAGAGCCAAGCACAGTGCAGGAGAGGAGAGATGAACATCCCAAAAGGTATTTATAGATCTGTGTTCCCAGTCCTTTCCTCTTCAGTATGAAAGCAACTCTACAAAAGGATTATTTTGACTGGCTGTTCAAGATTTCCAGAGGAGGAGGTTAATGTGCAGGAAGCTTCACGGTGCAGCTGGAAAAGCTCGCTGGCTTTGCACATTTTCATGAGTCAAGGTTATCTCCCTCAGACAGGAGGATGTGGATGTCAAGTAGCAGTGCAGCAAGTGGAAGGGCTGGGATCTGTCTGCAGCTGCTGAAGCACAGTTACCTGTGCCTGAAGGACACCAACCACAACTAGGGGGTACAGCAGATGCAGGCACTGTTCCCCAAGGTCTCCATCCCTCCCTCCTCTTTTTTCTTTTTTTTTTTTTTCAACTTGAGAAAATCTCTGATTTCAAGTAGCAGAGCAGGGTATGAGAGAGGTGTCTTGCACCCATCTTCCTCCTGGGTGGACAGGGTTTCCTGGTGTTGCTAACTTTGCCTGACCCAGACAGTGATCCTGTGTGAATCCCACAAAAGAATAGGAGGCAGGAGCTGCCCAGATGTTCACGTCTCAGGGAGTGGCAAAAAATTATTGTGTAGATATGACAGATGCTGTTTGAAGAATCATTTTGGTCCAACCTTAGCCCTCCCTTGCCAAGGCAATTCCCCAAATTGTAGGAAATTGCCAGAACCTCCTTCTGTCCTCTAGCTATTCCTGCACCAAGGGATATAAAAAGGAAATACTCCCCATGCAAAGGGGTTCTGCTCTGTCCAACTATATTCACAACAGTGTTACTCTGCTGCTCTAAAGGAACAGGACTTTTTCTTTCCATATCTCATACCCTCTTGATTTCCTCTGCTTTTCCTTAAGCAGAGCCCTCAGAGTGATGTTGCACTTAACTCCCCAAAACTGCAGTTCTTATTTTAAGGCAACTGTACCAAACAGATTCTCAGTGGCAAAGCTTTTTTTCTCCCTGTACACCCAGAAATCAGCTTAGCAAGCCCTGGAGCTGATGTCGTGGTTTGTTTACTTTTTTTAAAGGAGGAGCCTGAAGCCCTGTTTTCCTCCACACATAGGTGAGGGGTGAGCTTGGAGCATGGCTGAGCAAGAGGATGTATCAGGCTGGGTTTCCAGCGAAGTGCTGCTGACCCCAGCAGGTCCTGTGGGACTGGAGGGGCAGAGCAGTATGAGGGTGCAGTGAGAGGCACTGAGAGGTGGGAAAGCAAGGAGGTGGAAGAAGAAGAGCAGGACGAGAAGAAAGTGAAGTCGTTGGCAGCCCTGCCCTCACAACCTGGCCTGCACATGGGGGGATTTGGGGGATTATTTTATTTTTTTTTTTCCATTTTGGAAACTTTAGATTCTAGCAGCCTGATTCCTACCCCCTTTAATATGAGACTTCTGCCAAACTGGAGCCACCTTTGAGAAGATTTTGAAAGCAAGGAAGCATGTGAATTTTTGTGGCAAGTCTGAGATGTCAGAACAGACTCACTGGCTTTTACTGCCCCTTGCAGAAACAAGCTTCAGGCTATCTGGTGGGTTTACACCAGGCAGAAGACACAGAAGGATCAGCACCTGCTGTGGGAGGAAGGCTGGCAGTCATCCTGATGAAGATTCCTGAGGACCTGTGCTGTCTCCTTCACCCTCTCCCATCAGCAGCTCCCTCCTGCCTGCCCACTTTCTTACATAGGTCCTTTTTTCATGGTCACAGCACTGGTCTTCACTTGAACAATATTCCTCTTTTGACTTAAATCCATAACTGTTTTTAGGTGATGAGTTTCCTCTTCAGAGTAGTAGAAGCTTAGCATTAAATACCATCATGAAATACAAACTATGATACTGTGCTCACAAAACATAAACTTTGATGCTCAAGTAACAAAAGGCTTTCTTTTTAGGAAAAAAGTGAACTTCACTTCTAATAAAAGCATTTGGCCTAGTGAAAGGACAAATCTCAACCTAGATATTATTTCTGGCCTTGCTGCTCACACAGTTTTGTCTGTGTGGACTCTAAGGAAAGTGTCTTAGAAAGACAGTCTGTTTCTATTAAGTTAACAGAAGGTCACAACTCACAGTGTTTATCACCTACCTCTCAGCCAGATGGTTTCTATATATTTGCTTGTACCCAAAGTACCTGAGAGTTTTCCATATGTAAGAGTACAGACGATAATAATTTGCATGATAGAGAGACTGGATAAGAACACCATTGTATGTAAATGTCTCCCCATTGAACAAGATGGATTTTGCAGCTTGGCACCTACTAGTAAGTCCTACCAGTTCCATCCAGAGGGAGGTAACCAGTTTTCTGGCCATGGTTTGGATGCTGAGCAGCACTCAGACCTTCTGGATAGTGTGTGATGGAGTACAGACAGAGATGGCAAAAGGGCTCAGTCCTGTGAAAATGCTACTGTCATTAGTGTTAAATCTCTGCTAAGGGTAAGTGTTTTTCATAAGGCTTTTCCCCATCAGAACACGGGCAGAAAGGAGCAGAGTGAGTGCACTGGGCAAGCGATGTGCGCTTCGGGTGAGGATGTTTTCCAGTGCTGTGACAGAAGCTGTGGGACTCCCTGCAGCAGCCCAGCACCACAGCCTGTGCTTCCCTGCCGCCTCCATCGCCCAGCTGAAGCCAAGGCATGACTGTGGTGCTGCAACGGTGCTCGGCTGTACTGGGCTTCAGCTACGGAAACGGGGGTACAGATGTGAAGTCTGAGCCTGTGAATGCTGAATGCTGGCAGCTGTCACTGTCTTCCAAGGAGTTATTTGTAGAGGGAGGGATGCAGGATCCATCCTTGGTGATGATCTACAGATTTCTGTGCCCACCCGTGATGCTTACAGCATTTGTGTACTGCCCATCCAAACATGCTAGATGGATCAGGAGATTCTGTGTTTGATCTGGAGTCTCCTCATTGGTGAGGCTGATGGAGATGTGACCAAAGAGGGCACAATCCTGAGAGCAGCACTGTTACTGAGACTCTCTGTTATTTCTCCTCCTAGCTCCTTGTGGGGTGGTCGGGCACTCGCAGACAACAATGTTGTAGCCTGGCTGCTCTGTTCCAGCCCTTCTGCTGTTCCACACAGCTAGCCAAACGCTCAGACACACTTCAGTTATCACACACTTTAGTTATCAGGGTTGCTATTTTGCTCCTGTGCAGGAAGGGCAATAGGTATCTTTCCACATTGTATATCCTCTTAGATCACAGATATATAATCTCTTGTTTCTCTGGGCTTCATCTGCATATGATGACTGGATGAGCCTGCGGCTGTGCTGCTCTGAGAGGCACCAGAGTGCAGGGTGCTGCCACTGTCCTGTGGAGCCATAGGAAGTGTTTCATGATTCAAGATAAGAAAGATATTCATTTCCTCCTTCTGTGCTTTCAGGGCTGAGCTGCCACCAAGGCTGCACCGTCCGCCCTGACAACCCACTTGCAGAATGGACCAGGAAACCCTGGGAAGCATTGTCCTGCTTGCCATTGTCACCTTGATAAGTGTTGTCCAGAACGGTAAGACAAAAATAAGCATTTATTTAAGGGCTAAAAGGGAGATGAGAAAAGTCCAAGGTGATGTATGGTGATCTGATCTTTGAATAGATGATCTCTGGTTGTAAGTGTGTGCATGCTTAGGCATTACTTTGCCTTTAGAAATGGTCTCCTAATCATAATTTTACATGTTGTTGCTGCAGTATCTTGGCAGTGAGATGGTCCTACTCTATGATATTCTAGAGGGAGTTTGTTGTACCTATGTCAGCTAATGAAAGGATGAATATGCTGGGGTACCCTGGGACATGCATTTGGATTTGATGACTGAGACCTTCTTTCCTGGCTAAAGTCCCTGATGTGGGCAGCCAGGGCTGCTCTCCAGCAGGAGCCCTGCTGCCATGGGCAGGGGCCAGGGCCCCAGGGTGCTGTGATGGGCCAGACCTCTGCACGGACCTGGGCGAAGGGGGCAAAACTGCACCGACTCATCAGAGGAGTCAGTTTGGGCTACTTGTGGGCAGGCAGCTCTCCTGCTTCTCTGCATCTCCAAGTCCAGCTGAGATCAGTCCAACTGATCTCAATTAACTGCAGTCCAGAGAACACTGCGCACTTCCTGCAGTGGAGAAGTTTCCCTTTTTAGTTCTTATGCAGACCTCTATAGTCCCTAATATTCTTCAGGATTTTTAAAATAAAACAAGTTTCTCTTGTCCAAACCTGATTTTCACTTGATCGTCATCTCTTCCAAATACTTAATCATTTTAGCAGGAAATTCTGCCCAGAATACAGACAAGGGAGTGAGTTTTGCCCTACCTGCACTGAGGTTGCCCAGCTTCCAGGAGAATCAGCGGTGGGATGGGGGGGGCCATGCAAATGCTAGAAATCTGTGAAGGCTTTTGGTACGACTGTGAGATTCCCACTGAGTACAAACCACACGTTTAGTCCTAGGAGAGGGGCTATTTTGGGGCTGTTGCAGAGAGGGGAAGTGGGGGGAGCCTCAGCATAAGCCTGGCTGCAGGGAGCAGAACAAAAAAGAACTGCAGACTGGTTTAGTTTCAACATTGGCACTAAATGCCACAGTGTTTAGCTAAGTTCTGTTTTCTCGTAAATGCACAGTGTGTGACATCACCAGAATCCAGCACGGTACTGCAAATAAAAGTATGTGTCAAATGCATATTTCTTGCTATGTAACCAAAAGGCTTTTTAGACAGAGGTTTTTCCTTTTTCCTCTCACTCTGAAGCTCAGACATTTGCCTTTCAGGCTGACACACACTTTCATCTCAGGGAAATCTGCCTGTGGGATTATTGACCCACCTGCAGCAAGCGGGCAGTGCGACACTTGGCAGAGGACTCAGCATGCCAAGCACGAGTGGCACACAGCCCTAAATCATGATTTCAGACCTTGCATCATCTGATTTCCTCCTCACAGGCTTTCTGCCTAGAAAGACCAGACTCATCTGCAGTCCTGCAATGCATGCAGTAATTAAGGCAGTAGAAATGCTTGTCAAGGGACATCAGTTCTGAACTCTTGCCATGGCTCTGGTTCAGCAAAACACTTGGGCACCCGCTTGACTGTCTTTAAGCACACGAGCCTTTAAGTACCATGTAAATTCAGGTTTATGTGCTTTTCTGCATCTGGTGCAGGATGAGAAAACAATTTGAGCCAATGCTGTTATTCCCAAAACTGGAGGTGGGCTGTGGTGCTGCCCCAGTCTGACATCCATTTGCTGTCACCGTGCTCAGGCTGGGAATCTCCATACCCTGCAGGGTGATTCATGTGGCCAGATGTCACTGAGTCACACGTGTAGTTTTACGTTTCATCCCTGCGTCAGAGAGATGTTGCAATTCAGCAGCCTCCAAGGGAAATCAGCAGTCATGGCTCTTGCCCTGAGGTTTAGAGTAAAGAGCAGGACATATAACCATGATATTGCAAGCTGCCTTACACTGTAGTTTCCCATTTCCTCAGTGCCAGGCTAGCAGGTGCCCAATGCTGCTGAGATAGGAGCATAGACCTGCAGCAAGGGCCACCCCAGATGTGATCTGTTGGCTCTGCTCTGGTCCTTTGCAGAGCTTTACTCCAGCTGAGTCTCAAGCAGCCAGGGACTGCCTCTTGGGCTGCCTTCTAGGAAGATTTTGGGAGCCTGCAGAGTGTGTGAGGTTGACAGGGCTAAGGAGCCACAGAACTGGGGAGCTACTTTCAGGGCAAAAAGCTGACCTGAAGCAGAGGGCTTTACCTTTCCATATGACAGTGAGATTCTGGGTTCCCCTCTGATTCACTGCCCTTGCCTCAGGTGCCCACATGGTCCTGAGGAAATATAGCTGCTGTGGTGAGTTGGAGATAATCGACCCAGGAATTTTCAGTAGCTAAGAAATGGACACCTCATATGAGGTGTTTGTTTAAGCTCTTTCTTGAATCAAGGGAGAACAATCAGTACTTCAGTGGGGTGGTTTCTCTCATGTCAGTAGCTTTCTGAGGAAGGGATTGAACTCTTGTGGTGCCTTTCTTCTGTTTCCTTCTGTCACCCACTGTTTACAGAAGGCAGACATGTCCTCAGTGCTCCTCAGTGTCTCTGAAGTAAGGTAAGACAAAGCCAGTAGCTTTTACTGAAGGCAAAGGAAGTATAAAAGTCCTACCTACAGCATCAGTGAAGGGGAGAAAAGAGGCAACTTCAGATTCCAGAGATTAAATCCTGCAGCTTATTGAATTATACTTCTGTTGTTATAATAATATCTTTCCTGATGGGTTATCCTTTATATACATCTTTGGCTAATATTCTAAACCTTAGAGTGATTTGGTTACACTGAGATGAGATGAATGATAATATAAAGCTTGCAGCTTGTAGCCTGTCAGGGTGCTGTCTGGTGTGTTTAGACGTATGATTGATGGTCTCTTGTTTAGTGTCATCAGATAAAATGTGTTTGCTAAGCACATGGTACATTATCTTGAGGTGCTGCAGTTTTTGCAGCAGCTAACACCCTGACACAAAGCTATTGGTTAAAAGGAGGATACACACAACGTGGCGATCAGCTGTCAGGACCAGGTCTTCAGTGGGCCTTTCTGGAAAATGAACCAGCACACACTGGTGTCACTGACAGAGAAGACACTCCCTCATCTCTCTTCTCTGTTAGAGAGAGAGACTTGGGGTTGGCAGCTCTGACTGGGAAGTTTTTTCCCCCACTGAGGGCTCAAAGGACCAAGTCTGGCCTATAGCTCTGCAGCAGAGAGGTGCCAGAAGCGCAGCCAGGGGCTGACGCAGGGCTCAGAGGTGAGAGCCTGCTGCCAGTCACAGACAAACAAGAGGGGGTGTCTGAGGTCCCAGGGCACTGTGCCCCAGCACAGGGGGCTGGGTTACACCCTGATGGCTTCCAGCATGCTGGCCACATCCTGCACCTCTGCACACCCGCGGCCCCTCCTGCCGTCCAGCCTGGGTGCTCGCAAGAACCGCCCACAAAGCCCAGCCCCTGCAAGATCTCCAAATTACATCTCAGATCAAACACTTTGTGGTTTTTTTAACAGCTTTTTTTGCTAGCAAACTGGAGCATGAAAGCAAGCACTGCAATGGCAAAGGGTTCCAGCGGCCAGGTTCCTCCGCCTTCGACCGCGTCTACACCGCCAAGTGAGTAAGCGAGCCCCGAGGAGATGGTGAGGGCAGAGCAGAGTACAACACTCTCTTCCTGGGGCTTAATCCAAACTCTTCTGTGGTCCAGGTTTTGCTCTGCATTCCCATCGCTGTGTGCATTGCAGCAGCATTTAAACCCACAGTTCTCCAGTACGTTTGCTGGTGAATCCAGCTCCTTTCTGAACACTGGGTGCTGTATTTATTTTGAACTTGCAGCCCTTATATGTTTTATGTCCTTTCATTTGGGAGCCTGTTTGTCCAGCAGTAGTAATGCTAGAAGTGTGATACAAGCACAACTGTTGTCCCAAAGACATCGTGGCTCAAAAGGAAAGAGCCAGTGGAGAGATGCTGACTTGCTGAGGAGCAGGTTGGAGGCAGAGCTTGTACAAACCCCTGCACCTCTGCCCCCGGGCAGCTCCCTCGGCACATGGCTCTTTGCTTCTCTGCCACATCTGTACCTCTTGTCTTTGACATCCTTCAGAGAGCAGAGGGGAAAATTAATTCCAACCCAGAAGAGAAATGAACATAAAATAGTTTTATTATCCATGAGGTACTGCTTGAAACTAGATGGGACATCTAAGTGCTACCATTCCCAGGTGTGCAACCTCTGCCGAAGGCAGAATGCTTCCCCCTTAGAAAGCACTCCTGGCTGAAGAAGGCAGCTGGAAATCATTTGTGTTCCCCTGCAAAGAGACATGTTAACTGTCAGACACTCCTATTTGCTGTGAGATTTTCCTTTTTTTGGTTTCATGCAGCTTTCAATGCCACTGACTTGATTAATATGACTTAATTACGAGGATTTTCCAAGCCAATAAAGCACAGAGCATCTATTATACATGTGCCATGATCGAACAGGTTAGAGGAGGAAAGTGGCTTTTCCAGGTGCCAGGCGTGTGCGAGGCAGTTTGTTTTCCTCATCAGGCAGGACAAAGAGATCCTTTATCCAAGGGAGGGCACAGGGAAGCAGACCTGTAGGCGAGGCCGACGCCGTGCTCGGGCATGGACTTGCCAGCCAGCCCCCAGCAGCTGCCTGCTACAGGCAGGTCAAGGGTCTTCCACTGCTCTGGGGTAAAAGCCAGCCCACAATGGCATTAGTGCAGCCCAAATCCACACCCCATCATCCTTTGCTGGTGAGACTTGTTGATTTGGGTTTTTTCCCCCGTGTTCTGATTTGTTTTGTATAAATTCCCTTCTAGCCAGAACTGTGGACATGCATACCCGACGTTTCTTGCTGTGCTTTGGTGTGCTGGCCTTCTCTGCAGCCAAGGTACGCTCATTTACTTTGTTTTTCGCCTTCAACTCTGCACCACTTTCATCAAGGAATGGCAAGTGCTTCAGAGGTTCCACTTCCAGGGACCAAATTCTCCTGCAGCAGGGGAATGGGTCTCACCTTGCTGTCCTGCAGCTACATACACTGTTATAGAATCATAGAATCCTTTAGGTTGGAAGGGACCTTTAAGATCATGAAGTCCAACCATTGAGCCATTAGGGCTCTAAAGTGCTCTTCTAAAACAGATCAGAATCTGTCAGGGTTGGAAGGGACCACAAGGATCACCCAGTTCCAACCCCTCTGCCATGAGCAGGGACACCTCCCACTAGACCAGGCTGCCCAGCGCCTCATGCAGCCTGGCCTTAAAGGCCCCCAGGGATGGGGCCTCAACCACCTCCCTGGGTAACTGTTGAATTAGCAGGACACTCCTGGCACGGTTTATGCCAGCAGGTATATTCCCAGACATGACTGAGGACAATCCAGGCCAGAGACATTTCGTATATGGGCATTATGGATGGGATTCTTTTTTCTGGGTGGATGATTTAGTACTTAGATGCTGGGTGCCACATGATCACTTTTGGGACTGGAAATTATAAAATTGCCAGAGCTACCAGCCCTTCCCAGTGCTCGGGGCAGCCCAGGAGTATTTACCTGGGCTTCTAAATAGGATTCTCTTCAATGCAATTTGAGTTGTCCTAATGTTAAGGTGAGTGTTTCCCTGGGGTCCGTGGCAATTCTTTCTGCAAGAGAGGAGTTTCTTGGCCAGAAGTGGGGATTTTGCCTGCAGGTGTGGGGAAAGTTAAATTAGGGGGAAAAGAGGAAAAATCCCTTTTTATGTGCTCAGAAATGAGTGTTAGACCATACTATAGTCCTCTACCTGCTCCTAGGGAAATGCATCTATCAGCTGCCTTCAGTTTCTGTTGACGGCAGTGCCTGAGCTGGTTCCCTGCTTCCTGAGCCCAGCACGACCCACGCTGGGTCTCTGATGGGGACAAGCGTGTGCCCTGCAGTGGGCACAGCTGTGGGCAGGATCAGACCTACAGAGGCTTCAGAAAAGCCAGAGCGAGGCCAAGGCAAGGGCTGTGTCCCACGCCGAGCTCTCTGTCCAGCGCTCACCCCACAGCCCAAGGCTGCAGGTTCCCGTTTCCCAGCCTGGCCCGGGCAGCAGCCGGGGGCAGTGCGGGCAGCGAGACACGGGCTGCTGGTTCTAACACCTTGTTTTGGCCTCTACCCAGCTCCCGCTGCCTTTGCCGGCCTGATGTACCTGTTTGTGAGGCAGAAGTACTTTGTGGGTTACCTCGGGGAAAGGACTCAGAGGTAAGGACTCGCAGAGCCCCTTTGCACCGCTGCTGCCCGCTCCGGGTGCTGCCCGTGCCTGCTCCGTGCCCGGGGTAGCGCAGGAGAGCCCCCTCCTCTCCTCCGGGGCGCAGGGGGGAGATGGGCAGCGCAGGGGATCCCCCTCCCCTCCTCCGGGGCGCGGGGGGGAGATGCAGCAGCACTGGGAGCAGCGGAGCGACGGAACAGAGCGGC